TATATATATAATATCAAATAAAATGCTGGAGTGGCTTAATTGGGGCTACATGGATTTTTGATGAGGCTATAACGCCCCCTATCCCCCGTGTAGTGCCCCCCCAGCTTTGTGATGTGTGTTTCTCAGGTGTAAATCGAAGAAAACTTGGATGGAAATATCTCCCTAAAATCTATTGGGACATTTTCCTCTTCTCTCTCCATTGATGTTGTCACTGTCCAGACGGATGCAGACGTGTCATCGCAGAGCGGCGGCTATGACGTGGAGCAGTTTGTGGACACCCCCGACTACGATCTCATCTGCACTATATGCCAAGGGGTCTTGCGGTGCCCCGTTCGAGCGGCGTGCCACCACGTCTTCTGCAAAAAATGCATTTTACAGTGGCTCAAGAGGTACAACCAAACATGGAGTACTGCCAAACGTTTCAAAGCAATTATTGAGTCACTGTCGTTTGTCCTTGTCAGACAAGAGACCTGCCCTTGCTGCCGAAAGCCGATTAACGCATGCATGATCTTTGTCATGTTCAAACTCAGCAAGTCCATAGGACGCATGAAGATAAAGGTTGGCCTTATAAAGAGACTGTATGCTCGGCATCACATATTTGCTGTAGTTCATTCCTCAATTAGTTGGAGAAAGTTGTTCAAATGAGGTTTATATTTAAGTAGATTTATTTTCTCCATTGTGATTATGACTTGCCATTTTGTTTGATAAATTACTAAATACGGCATACCATAAAGTGGACTAGGTAATAAAAATTCACAAAAGTCTTTACATTATATTCACTTTGGTCTTTACTACTGTATATGGTTTGATAAAATATAATGGAATGTGCTATTTTCCTGATATAAAAAAAACAATTGCAATGGATTTTATTGTTATACACAGTATTACAAATGGTATTTGAAACAACCACTCATGGAAAATGGTGACAACAAGTAGTTATTTATGTTATTTCTCTTTTTTTAAAAATGCACTTATTTTGGTATGTTATGTCTTTTACAGTGTAAGAACGAGATCCGTGGCTGCGCAGCGACTTTCGCCCTCTCGGAGCAGTACTGTCACAGCCTGAACTGCTTGTTCGAGTTAGTCCCTTGCCCGTACCCCGGGTGCCGAGCGCAGCTCCTCCGCCGCGACCTGGAGGCCCACGCGCGCCACTGTGAGCATTGGCTCCAGCCGTGCCACATGGGCTGCGGCACCGTGCTCTCCCACCGGACGCGGGCTCAGCACAACTGCTACATGCAGCTCAAACTTCAGTACCAGGCCAAGTGCAGGAACCACGGGACCATCGCCGCCGCCCTGCAGAAGAAGATGAGAAAGATGCAGAACACCATGGCACACATGAAGAGGCAAATTGGGCTGATATGCGAAAGTCTACAGGCGATGGATGAGCTGCACAAGGTGGAGGAGGACTTGGAAGAGGGCAGCTCCAGATCCACAGGAGCCAGATTCAGCAGTGAAGGCTGACAGTCGAGGGAAGAATGTGTTTATTTCATTGATGTGTGTGGGAATATGCAGGTAGGTTTATCATCACATTATATTGAGTGAATTTGTTACATATTGTAAATAAAACAAGGATGACTAAATATACAACTGTTGTTTATTGGTTGGATTTTTTTTTTAGGGGAAAATAAAGGAAACAGGGAAATACAGTACTGTACATGTTTCGAAGAATGTATCCTTTTGGGTAACATTTGTTTTAGTCGTTTAAGAAAGTTCTGTGTAAGGTTAGGTTATCAAATGAAATGTTAATGGTTTTTTACGTGGGCAACCAAAGGCACATTTGTACTGTTTTACCAGCTTCTCGATTAGCCACACCTGTGAGATGGATGGATTATCGCCTCAAAAAAGAAGTGCTGATTAACACAGATTTGTGAACAATTTTTCAGACAAATGGGCCTTTCTTGTACATACAAAGAACATGCAATATTTTTCTTTCAATCTCAAAGTAATTGAAATGTTTTTGTGTGTTACGTGGGCAACCAAAGGCACATTTGTACTGTTTTACCAGCTTCTCGATTAGCCACACCTGTGAGATGGATGGATTATCGCCTCAAAAAAGAAGTGCTGATTAACACAGATTTGTGAACAATTTTTCAGACAAATGGGCCTTTCTTGTACATACAAAGAACATGCAATATTTTTCTTTCAATCTCAAAGTAATTGAAATGTTTTTGTGTGTGTGCGTGTGCGTGTGCGTGTGTGTGTGTGTGTGTGTGTGTGTGTGTGTGTGTGTGTGTGTGTGTGTATGTGTGTGTGTTTGTCAAATTCATCTCCTGCCACAGACCGGTGTGTGTGTGTGTGTGTGTGTGTGTGTGTGTGTGTGTGTGTGTGTGTGTGTGTGTGTGAGAG